CCGCGCCGAGCCTGCGCCGCCGCTCCCGGGCGGGCGCGGTCGGCCCCGCGGCCGCGTCCCGGAAGGCGGCGGTACCGACCCGTGTGAGGCCGCAGCGGGTGGAGCGCGGCTGGGAGGGAGTCAGGACTCGCTGCCGGGGCCTTTGTGCGGGAGTTCCGGGACCGCGGCCTTSCGGTGGGGGGAGCGGGGAGGCCGCCGCGCTGCCCCGGGCCGGGCGCTGTGGAGGGAGGGTGAACCCCCGCTGGCTGGCAGGGACGGGACCGCCGGGGAGAGCGTCCCGCAGTCCCGGAGCGCATCCCGTGCCCCGCTGCCGCCCGCTTGAGCGTGCCTCAAACCGGATTTTCTGTCCGAGCTTGGGTGCCTTGCGCTTCCCTGTTCATCGCCCCCGCCCCTCCTGCTGCCCCCACGAAACGGTCCGAGGGCCCGTGGTCCGGGCTTGGTCCGGTTGCGTTCTGGGGCTGTTGCTTAGAAATAATGGGGTTTATTGTTGTAGTTGTTTTCTGTCCTTACCCAAATAAAATGTCCAGCAGGTGTTGTCTGCTCTATGCTCTTTTTCCCCGTGTGTTGCAGAACACTTGCTTGTGAAAGTAGTGTTTGGCATAAAATGCATTCAGGTGTGCCTTTAGTTAGCTCTTGTCTTGTGAGGAAGCGAGCCCAGCTAATTCACTAGCTGTGGGAACTCTTTTGTTGTCACCTACCACGTTTTTCCTGATAACACCTAAATTTCTGTAGTATTCGTGTAGTGTTTTTTGGGTTATTTGTGATCCTGTCAATACCGTATGTTCAGTTGCCTTCGGAAAGCAATTTTTCCTGCACTAAATCRTAATTTCATCTTCAAGAGATCCTGTAGATGGTTACAAGTAGTTTTTCTCAGTACACACTTTCAGGTATTGTTCTGTGGTAACAGTTTGATTCAAGAATTGTTATCTAGATGCAAGCCCRTGCTCGGGAATATCTGTTGTAGGAATGTGATGTCCATGTAAATATGGTCAGTGGCTCAGTGTTGCTCCGTTTTCTCCTTTGTATGAAGTGTTCTTTGGTCTTTATTTAAAAACCCAGTGTGTTTTTCTATATTTGTCCTTGTTTACTGCTCCACCCAGCTTGGTGTCTTCTGCAAATGTCATCTGGCTTCTTTGCCTTTGCCACTCCCATCCTCTTTCAGATTGCTAATGGGAATGTTAAAAAGGGACCTAAGAATGACCTGCTGGTAATAAGCACTTATTGCCAGTCCATTACTCGTCTATTTAAGTTTGTTGTTGGGTCAGTTTCAGAATGTGGTATGGGGTAAAATCTGTGCAGATTTGAATGCCTTGTGGGTGACTTARGCAAAGGGACCTGAAATTCTCTGCTAAATTTAAAATATTTTTTTTTTGTGTTCTGAAGGGCTGCTGTAATGCATTTCCTAATATTCATAACTCTTCAGTGTAGTTTGCGTGCCAGTTATGGTGTCCACAATTCATGCTTCTCTGGGTAATATTAAAAAAAAAATGGGTCCATTTGTATTTTGATGGTCCCAAATAGGTGTTATATTCTGTTGATTTGTGGCAGTGTGGCTCTTAATGAGCAGGGCAGTCCACTAGCATTTATATTTTTCCTTTTACTTGGAATGAAGAATATATTTGGACCCAAATATAGGGCCAAATGGCCATGCCTTTTCAGATTGAGTTGCTGGGCAGTTTCTGCTGAATATTTACTTTGCTGACAGCTTCTTCTCAGTTTTCTTTCTTTTTGCCCTTTTCTGAGTCATGACTGACCCTCTAGATTCTTGTTTGGTTGTTTCCTACTTTTTCATTTTCTGAGCAGCACTTCTAACTTTCATGCAGCTGTAACAACCAGTTCTAAAGAAGGCAAGCAGTGATGCTGTCTGCTGCTATCCCTCTGCCAGAAGTTTGGCATTTGAATAATTATTTTTCTAAGAAAATTCTGGAAAGAAACTCTAGTGTCTTTTATGCCATGGTTAACAAGCTGACTGAACTCATGGATGTTGCAGAATTATTGTTGATGTGAATACTTACAAGTGCTACTAGTGCAAACAGCATTAAGGTACATTTTTTCCCCCTATTGAGTTTCTGGGGGTCTGATAAAGTGCACAGTGCATGGTAATAGTTACCTTGTGTGTTTTATGTTAGTAACCCTTTGTTTCTACCACCCTCCTTGCTCAGTTAGCAAAATATTAGTAAGGCAAGGACAAAAGAATTCTGGTTTACAAAAGTGAATGACAGTATGATATGCAGTGGAAGAGGATTAATACTTGAAATACTGTATTGGAAAGTTATTCCWGGATATAGTAGTTGCCTAATGAAAAACTTGTTGTTTGGATTGCTTGAAACAAGAGGAGACCTGCTTGCCTCTACAAGAGGAAATAGTACTTGTCTTTCAGGACTTAGTTGGTTTTTAAGAATTCTGACTGGGATTTTTGTCTAGTAGCTGTTTGTTGTCTCCAGTTTTTGTGAACTGTTGAACAGGTCGATGAGGTGTCAGATTTGAATGTGGAGAGCATCATCTTAATGTGTGTGCTCTCACAGCTCCACTTCACGTGGTCTCAGTGAGGTATTTTGGGTTGTCCTTGCAGAGTGATTCCAGCTTCCTTCTTCCTGGTATGTATTACTAATTCTCCACCTTGAGCAGCATAGAATTGCTGAGAGGAGTCTCTGACTCATGT